TGCTCCGGCACTCACCGGCTCTCCAGCCCGTCGATGTACTCCTTCTTCTTCTTCCGGCTCTCCTGAGCCGACTGCTTGTTACGGATCTTCCTGCGGATCTTCTTCAGCACCCGCTCCTCGTACTGCAGAGAGAAGGGCAGACACCGGCCCACGGGCACTGGGGGGGATTCCTGGCTGGGATCCTTCCAGCCCTGCCCCAGCCCCCCGGCACTCACCGGCTCTCCAGCCCGTCGATGTACTCCTTCTTCTTCTTCCGGCTCTCCTGAGCCGACTGCTTGTTACGGATCTTCCTGCGGATCTTCTTCAGCACCCGCTCCTCGTACTGCAGAGAGAAGGGCAGACACCGGCCCACGGGCACTGGGGGGGATTCCTGGCTGGGATCCTTCCAGCCCTGCCCCAGCCCCCCGTGGCCTGGAGAACGGATAATGCTGTGTGCCTTTCACTGGGGGGTCTGGAATGCTCTGCGGAGAGCCGTTACCTGATACTCCCCCAGGATGGGAAACTGAGGCACCAAGAGGGGGACTTGTGAACGAACCGGATTCTCTGCTCTCCTTCCCTGGGCTGATCCCTTCTATGTGAATAACCCGCTTCCCCCAGGGCCTAGGGAAGACCTGTCCTACCGGATGCCCCCATTCGCTGTCCCTCCCGCCAGGCTCCCCCACACTGCACCCTGGGGGAAGAGGGTACCACCACACTGCTGGGATCGGTGGCGCTGCCTGGGCCTACTCCAGGCCTGGACCGGGTCCTCAGTGCCCACGGCACGTCGCCATGCCAACACCAGGCCAGAACCTACGGCTGAGTCCACAGTGTCCCAGCAGGGAGCCCTCCATGCCCCCACCCCTCCACGCCGGCCCAGCTGGCTCGCCACGCGGGATGTGACCGGTTAACCGGTAAGTATCACTCTTAACAGGTGGCGCTGACCAGCTATGCTTACCTCCCAGCCCCAGGCTGAGCGGTTACCTGGTTAGACCGACCGGTTCACCGGGCAACCGATTAAGGGGATTTTACAGCCCTACTCTCCCCGCGCAGGAAGGAGAAGGCTCGGGGGCAAAGGGGAGCCCTGGGGATCCTGTCCCTGGTCTCTCCTCACCTTGGTGAGGGGCAGCTGGGTGGGCAGCGTGACGCCTTCCTTGCCCAGCAGCTTCTTCTCGTCCTCCGTCAGCACCAGCTCCTGGCAGAGCCCGTGGGCCTGTCTCAGCAGCACGGGGCTCATCAGCTGCTGCTGCTGCTGCAA